CAATTCAATTCCCAACTTATTATTTTTATTTGGAGAACAATTGTTTGAAAGAAGATTTTGAGGCAATAGTATATACTAAGTGGTCTGATGCTTTTGAGCTATTTTTCACCTTTCTTTTCTTTTCTTTAATGGTGTAGAAGCCTCTCCAGGACCGCAGCTTTCAAATTAATTTGGGACAGTCCTGGAAATCATGCCAGTGTGACTGAATAATGTTGTCTCCAAGGACTGGGGGTAAAAAAAAGAGAAGGCAGCCCCCATCTTTTGTTCTTTCTTTCTATATAACATGAAGTGACCATGTAGATCAGAGATAGGAAGATACTGCCTTTTAGATATTATGTTTTATTTGTTTTTATGGACTTTATGGTTCTATATGCCATGCAGAGTCTGTTGGGTGGCTATAACAAATAAGAAAGGAGAGGCAGGCAGGCAGGCAAGCTGAAGCATAGCTCCTATCATCTCCCGTTATTGGTCATACTGATTGCTGCTTCTGGAGGTTGGCGTGTAACGTATTTAGAAGCCCTGAGGTTCCTCACTCCAAATGTAGAACTTCATGTGAGCAAGATTGTTTTCCAGGCATAATTCTAGACACTGGAGCTTAGCTTTCTTGTTTCTTTTTAGATATGTTTTTATTTTTAAAGAAACAACAATGGTTTAAAAACTGTTAGCCCACTTTATACTAGCACAAGGTTCTTAACAGGCATACTCTCACCATGGAGATTACACAAGGCCCCTTTGTCACGTTATTCATAAACTTTCTGCAGACTTCTTATATGACAGAAAACCTCATTTCTGTTTTCATTTAGCTGTGAATCATATCAGCCAATATATTGAATGCAAAAGAAATGACTGAATTTTTGCTTATGGAGTGTTTTTTTCTCACTTCCATGCTGGTAGTACTTGCTTGATTGCCTCATATGTTATTGTGAAGTCAGCCCATAAAACATACTGTGTGCATGTTGATTACTGATCAGTGAAATAATAATAATAATAATAAAAAAAGATTAATAAAGTGGAAGAGGCACCTGGGAAATTAATTTTTAGCAATGCTGTAACAGTGACAGAAAAGAAGAAAAAAATTAAAATGCTTACAATAGAGAAAACAGTTTTTGGAGAAAAAAATCTTTAAAGATTATTATTTTCTGACTTTCCCCTATGTACTGCAAACAGTGCTCCTAAGCTAATCTTGGACATATAACTATTATGCTCTTGTGTTGCTTTTTTCTGACTGATGGCTGGTTGTGATTTTTGAGAAGCAAGTTCAGTTTACAAATCTGCCAGAGAGAAAGCTTCGGTCTATTCTCCCATTTGTTGTGGGCAGTACATATCCCATTGTGTGCACGGAAGGGCTGTCTCAGTAGGACACACTCTTGGCTTATGTGCCCTACAGCACCCGTGCTCCCGAGCACCTACCCGTAGCACCCATCTACCCCCCATGGCACCTGCATACCTGCCCACACTCCCTAGCGGCTGCCCACAGCACCTGCCCATCACCCGGTGGCACCTGCACACCCAACCGTGCTCCCTAGCACCTGCTTGTGGCACCTGCCTACCCCCCCCCATACTCTCTAGCACCTGCCCACGTTTTAGTTTAACATATTCCCCAAAGCGCATACCTGGGGACTAAGATAGATGGATTAAATTATAGGAGAAGTAGATGAACATACAAAAAAATCTAGCCACCATTAAATCAGGAAACCAACAGAGGAGAGCATATATGAGCAAAAGCAAAGTTACACAACTGATCAAAGTAGCATTGAAAAGAAATGAAACTTCCCAAATGCTTATGCTTTCCCTGCCCACTTGACCATATGGTTTACTACTCTGAGGTCCTGCAGCCAACACTGCTTGGCTGTTCTGCCTCTCATTGGAAGAGCCCAGTGGCTTTAAGAAGCAATAGGGCTTTCCCCCAAATAGCAGTAAAGTGCTGTCATCCAGCAAAGCTTGCTGTCTTAAAGAAGTGCTGACTGACTGTCTTGGCAATTAAGGATGGTTTCTGTTGTCATGAGAATTTGGAGGAGGGAGGTGGGGTGGGGAACGTTTCCTATGGTTCCAGGAAGTGGCAGCAGAAGACCCACAGGTCTTTTCCAATAATTTCTCTGATCCTATGAAGTGGGGCTTGGAGTTGTGGAACCAAAGAAGCTGTTCTCTCCATTTCTTCTCCCTTGGGAAGGGAAGTGGTATGGAATGTGCTTGGCAGCCAGCAGCCCCACAATAAAGCTGCTTTTCTTCTAGAAGACCACTAGATATTTGTATAAACATACAGTTCCTAAGCTGGAAGGATGGGCAAATGTGGGCTGAAGAACAAGTTGAGCCCTACTTTCCTTCCTTGTGGGAATGGAAGCGTGGAATTTTTCTCTTCAACTGCCACTTTGTGGGGAAGCAGGTCATTTTGGTACCTGAGAACCGGCCCCCAAAAGACCTTGTCCTCCTCTCCCCACTTCTGCTGCAAGCCAGGGTTTGGCAAGTATAGCGGAAGAGATACAGCCACAATGGGAAAGCCCTGACTCTGTCATGGCCAAAAGGGAGATAGCCCTAAAAATCAATGGTCAGGAACCAGGTTAGGTTGCCCACAGCAGCCTCAGATGGCCAATAGGAGCTTCATACAATAACTTTGTTATGATGTGCTTCAGATGGGCCAGATGGGATGGCTTAGGCCAGAGGAAAACATTACTTTTGAACTGGAACAAGAAGCTGCCTATATGGTGGGTTGGGGATGGACTGAAGATGATAAATGCTTATAGGGCATTTTCACACCATGGCAAGCAGGAAAGATAGATGAGCCCATTGTCATCAACTGACCTGCATGCCCCTTAATCCACTACAGTATATTTACTTAAATTTGCTGTTCAAAATGCAATAAGTAATGTTTACTGAAGCTTGCTTCTGGTGCACTGAAGGTTTTATGCAAGATAGGGCTCTCCCTATTAGAATTTGGTCTCTGTTATTCTGGTATCCCTTGTATTCATAATTAGTGGGAATGGTAAATAAGAAAGCAGTAACATCTCCCTAAACTTCTGTGTACATCTTCTGCTGTTTTGACTTAGGAAAAAAAGCTTAAGGAATACGCTAGTATTATTAAAGTTTGCCAGCTCAAGTTCCCTTCAGTTGGAAGCTATCAGAAATAATTTCTTATACCTGTCCTGGAAGTTGATCTAATCAACAGATTGCTTAAGCTGAATTTTAAAAAGTTGAGGTAGCATAATGACTACAATTTGGTATTGTAAGACACAGGGCTTCTGTCTCATTAACTCATAAGGTGGCCTTCAGTAAAGCAGTGTGCCTCAGACCCACTCTCTGTCATATGAAGAATAATACTGACTGTCTTACTGACATAAGATTACTGGAAGTAGGAATGTGTACATTTGGGTATACTCTACAGATGTTGAGCTATTAATTGCATCATTCTTCTTAGTTTGCAATTTATCCCACTGATGCTGTTTACAGAGTAACGGTAACTACTAAGTGCAATTGTGGTTCAGTGATATTGTAGACTGAGGCCTTGCATGTTGATCATAAAAAGTAGAACTTAAACGTGGACAGTTTTGGTTATATAACATACTATCTAAAACTATGCCCCCAGCCCCATTCAGCCTTATTCATTAAAACTACCTTCTTGGTGACAAGTGTTACTGCAGTTCCATAAGCACCTTTGCAGCTTGGTTAATTTAGCAGAACAGCTGATCTTTTGCATCATTGAATATATCTCTGTCCATTGATTTCAGTGGACTGCATTTCAGAGTAACTCAACAGATTGGTTAATTTTACTTGTCTGTGTTGGAAATTCAAAGTTGATACAAGGAGCCATGGGGGAAAAGAACATTATTACCTGGGCCATATTGCCAGGGTTGAGGTGAATGTGATAAGTGGTATATTACGTCGCAGTTTTTGTGCTTTTACGTGGTCTTGTGCAAGTAGCACATGGACTTTGGACGTAATTTCATTTTTTTCATGTTGTACAAAACAGAATAATTATTTGATGCGAATGGTTTGTTATATACATAGAATCACGTCTGTAAATCAAGTCTCTTTTTATGTCTGCCATCTTACATTTTAGAAGTAAAAAGATCGTCTTCTTTAGAATCATGACTCCATGATTATCTTTTGGTATTCTGTGAAGGTTTTTATTTTTTTATAAAATTTCAGGGGCTTCAAGCAGCTTTTTAACTATTTCCATTTGCCCAGTCTGAAACCAAACTAGATGTGGACAAACTGGATGGATGCAAAGAAATAACAGTCTTGTAATGTGATTGATAACAGGGTTAGATCTGTGGGTGCCAAAATGGTTGTAAGGCTACCCCCAGGCATACTATTTGCATTGGAGGAAAATCTAATGCGAAGAATTGTCTTGGGAGGATTTTCATTGGAATCACTGCACTTCATTCCCACTGCCTATTTCCTTAGTGCTATTTTCCCCTATTTTTTCTGAGGCTGCTATTAAGGTAAAGAGTAAAGATACTTTTGAGTCAAGCTCCATTCCTGGTGGCTACATGAGCCCTCCCATGCAGTCTTCTCTTTGGAAAAGTGCAAAACTGTCTTGTTGTTGCCTCTTTGGTTCAGTTTTTTTTTTTTTTTAATTCTTAGTCTAGTCTAGGATTCTGTGGAAGTCTCTCATCCATGGCTTAGCCAAGCCTAACCCTTCTTAGCTTCTACAACCCTTCTACAACCACAACAAAAAAGAATATTCAGGAAATTAAAACTAAATTAGCTTTGTCCAATAATGCAGCACAAAATTTAGGTTACTATTTTAGATTGTTAAAATTGTCAAAAGCACGCTTTCCAGTTTAGCTGGTTTATGCTTTTGTTTAAGGGAGTTATATTTATTCTTTTGGGGGTTTATGGGTAGAAAAGACACCCTTCTAAGATGTGTTTTAGTTTAAAATAATAAAAAATGGAATGCTTTTTTGTGTTCTGCAGTATTTTGGAAGTTTGCTCGTGATATTCTGCGTTGAACTGGCCTGTGGTGTTTGGACCTATGAACAGGAAATTACAGTGAGTATGTGCGTATGAGGAAAAAAATTATCTTGTTCAGAGACTTTGATTCTATTAAATATTGAATTCTTGGTACAATTCCTTCCTTCAAATATGATGCTTCTTGAACATGAAAGTAAGTTATATGAAAATCACTTGTAATGAGCTTTAATGTGATCTGTTTGGGATTGTTCTTAGGTGCCTTGTTATATAAATGCAGATTTTTGTTCTACATTAAAAAAAATCTAGCCATTCCTTGGTTAGATAGCAGAGAAGTTCTGTTTTATTATTTTATTATATATTTATTATTTTGTTTTTGCTGTAGAAGCATTTCCTTTTTTAAATGTTTCCTGGAGCTAAATGCTGTAAGTAGGGCCAGATGTCAGCAGAGATGAATTTTTTGTCAGCTACTCTCTTAATAAGGAAGTGTTGATTCTGTTTTGTATCTGATATGACACATACAATAATAAATGTTGGAAATCTGAATCTCTGAGTTCTTTTTCTTTTTTCTTTAATTGCGCCAAATTTCCATTCAGAAGAATTTAACTTCACGGAGATATAAAAATATGGACTTGATTCATGTATTCAGAGAATTTTCAATGAACATGAATAAAAACTTAACATATACATAAAACTTGTATTCTGACTAAGTCTGTCTGCATTGGCTTCCTGTACAATGGAGGAACAAAATCTTCACCGTGTGACAGTTAAGAGCTGTGTTAATGGTCTACCTAACCATATAACCCACCAATCCAGTTTTGCATATTTAAACAAAATTCTTTGGGTTGGAAAATGTCATCCGTTTCAGTGGCACTTTCCATAATTGTTAAAGCCAACTGTGTGTGGAAACCACATTCATTGAAATCATTGCAGCATGCCTCTTCTTCCAGTGCTTCATTTCTTCTGAAGCTGAATCTTTATATTCTGTATTAGATGACCAGGCACTCACCCTAATCCAGATAACATTTGCTCTGTTTGGTGCTATTGGAACCATCAAAACAAGTTAGCAAAGTTGTGTTGGTCTCCAATATGAGAATTATAATATGATGTAGTGACTATTGTTGGACTAAGATTGGGGAGGCCCAGTTTAAAGTCCACCCTGAGCCATGGGAACTCACTGGGTGGCTTGTGCAGGTTCTCTTTCACAGCCCAACCTAACTCACTGTTGGGAAAAAATGAGAAGAGGCGGTGCTACGTACAGCGCCTTGAGCTCCTGGAGGGAAGATAGGATATCAATCCAGCAGATAAATGCATGCAGTCAATAAATATTGAGTGAGATGTAAGCCCTGGTGTGTTCATTAAAGTTTATTTCCAGAAAACCATCCATGCATCTGCAGCAAAACAGAACCATCCTATTTACGTCAAATGCAAAATTTTAAAATCATACATTAAAAAAAAAAATCTTATCAGGTTTATTTAGGATTAGTTATTAAAGTTGGATCAAGACTACAGTTTATTTGAGCAGTTTAATATTGTGTAGCAACCACACTTTTGAATGGATACTTTTCTGTAAATATAGATATTTGTGCTAAAACTGCAGCTGTGTCTAAGAAATTAAAGAGGCAATTCTGTCCTTTCCCTTTTCAGACTAGAAAAGTGATTCATTCTTGCAAGGGAAAAGTATAATTAGAATGAAGAAAACAAACTGGCATGTTATTGTGCTAGCTGTTGAATTCTCCTGTCTTCTTTTTCCATTTGGTACTTATTTATGAAGAGAATGAAAAGAGTTTTGTACAGAGTTGCTAAAATATATCAAACCCAATAACCTTTTTAACAGCAGTAAGCATTAGCACAATAATGTCATGGTGTTACTGCTCTTTCTTTCTTTCTTTCTTTCTTTTTCTTTCTTTCTTTCTTTCTTTCTTTCTTTCTTTCTTTCTTTCTTTCTTTCTTTCTTTCTTTCTTTCTTCTGGGACTGAAGGAATTTCTGGCACTTCCTTCAG